CCGGCCGTCACCGGTGTTGCGAGGTTTAGCAGAGCCGATCGCGTTCGCGAATGGCGTCGTCGCGCCTGCAACACCGACACGATCCGAGGCAGGAAGCCGAACGCAAGTGTTGGCAGTGGAAAACCAACGACACCCACGAGGTTGAACACATGGATTAGAAAGCATCAGTCTGCCTTGCAACGAGAACCCTGACGCACTTGGCCACGCACTGTGCGCCGAGTGCCAGTGTGACGTGCAATTCTCCGCGACGGAGATCTTGTTTAAACACCATGATCGCGCGACAAGAGAACTGGCCGAGGCTTGCCACATTAACACAAGGGCTGGTATGTACGTTAGCAGCCCTTCTATGGCCTTGTCGGAAAAGGAAGGGTACTACTTAAGAAAAGGGGGTAGTCCATTGGGGGAGTCTGCAGAATGTGTGTTCTTGTTTTGGTTGCTTGTCTTTTGCGTGGCCCATGATGCGCGCGCGCGGGACTTATTCGAGTGCCAAGGTTACATGTCCTACATATATTTTCGGTAGAAGCAATAAAGCTTCCAGTTGTGAGTGAGCGCCCGTGGTGTTCACTTTCTTGTCCTCGTCTTTGTTTTTGTGCTACACTTACGGCATAATGAGTCAGTGCCAACTCGCTCGCGTCTCCATTTTCATCTTGCTTGTACCTTTGTTGTAGCGACAAGCCCCGGACAGTGAGCGCCGGTTTCGGTTTCAAGGAACACGCGAGCTCCTAGCGGTGACACCCTAAGATATGGTTGAACAAATGGGGGATCATGTGGGTGTTCACGTTTACTGTATTTCACAGTTTTTACAAATAAAAGAATTTTATTGAAACTTCGTTTTGTTTATTTGTCTTTTTTATTTCGTATTTTTGTGAAATACACCTGAGGCGAAACACAGGAACTGGTCGACTTGTATTCGTAGTGCTTGCTAACGCTCACCCTTGCTACTCTTTCAGCGATATCACAAGGTGGATCACGCTCGGTTATCTCGCTCGGCTGTAGTGCCAAGTGTGATTACGGAAAAGATATGAGCATCTGATCTGGCGTGAAGCGAAAGGAAGACGCAGTAGACGATGTCAAGCAGATCAGCCATGCATTAGACGAAAGTGGCTAAATTGGGGCATCGCATGTGTTGCGCGTCTTAAGGTTGTGTTAACCGATGTATTTCCACTTCGGCGACGGCTTTTCAAGTTTCCATGAGACATTGGGTGAGCACAAGTATTTGGTTCCATTATTTCAGCAGGTATTCAATTTGCCTAACTGCATGTCGAAACCAAGTTCCCTGCATGCCGTGGACTGGTATAAGCGCAATGTTGCTCGACTAATCCGTCATGATGACAGCGTATACCTGCTTCATGTAGAATACGTTTAATAAATGGCTTGAATGCGTGTTGGTTCGGCTACGCAGTTTGTTCACCTTTTACTTGTCCCATATGGTTCGAACGATGTGAAGCAGTTATAGGCTACTTCCCGTTCAAGAAAATGCTCGTTACCAGTTAGAAACTTTTCGGGTTATTCCTTCTGATAATGTCCTTAAAATACATGTAAGGAACTCGATGCTTTGAGCAATCGTTAACAGGTATTGTGACGGGAGCCAACGTTTCGACGAGTGCACTTTACTTCGTTAAAGCAATGCTGCTGCCCTTACGAAGCCAAGTGACCTTCCCTGTTCGACGATTTTTCAACGCTTCACGCCTACATCTTTGCCTGAACACCCGTCTTGTTCGGTATCGAAGTTCTGTGCTAAGTATAAGTACGCCCGTCGGCAAAATAAGTCGGGACGTGTGGGTGGAGACAGCAGACAGAAAAAAACTGCGTTGTCCTGCCGTATGACGTCGAGTGTGTGGTGTCGACACATCGCAGTACGCGTGCGCTTCCTTTCACACTTGCAGTCATGTCTTTTTTACTCGTTGCAAGAGGGTAGGTGATTGCATGTGGCGTTATGAGATAGGTGTAAGTTTCTTCGCTCAATCCGTCAACGCTCAGTTCGACGGGGGGGCACGCTGGCGGTAAATGGTACGCTGCTTTTTTTTTTACCTTCATCGGACCGACAACACGTAGCAGCCGGGCCTTCTCATCTCATAGAAGTAATCCGAAGAAAAGAATACTTCGGTGCCCTCATTCGTATTTCAGTACCATGTGGCTTGTTTTCACACACGCTCACACACAAAACATTGTCAGAAAGTAACTAATGCTGCATGTGGCAACACTTTGTCACGGGGTCAAACAAATTATCTTTAATCGGCTAGAAGCGTACGCTTCACGACAACGGGAACAATCGCAGATTGTTGGGGCCAGGGTCACTGCCCTCTTTTTTTAGGCCTGTATGCAAGGTCCTCCTTGATTGATATGTGGGGTTTAACGTCCCAAAATCACCAATGAGAGACGCCGTACTGGAGGGCTCCGGAAATTTCGACCACCTGGGGTTCTTTAACGTGCACCCCAATCTGAGCACACGGGCCCACAGCATTTCCGCCTCCATCGGAAATGCAGCTGCCGCAGCCGGGATTCGATCCGGCGACCTGCGGGTCAGCAGCCGAGTACCTTATAGCCACTAGACCACCATGGCGGGGCAAACCGAACTCACGACCTCCGCACAAAGCAGGTCCTCTACTACCACATCTGTTGCTCATGCACAATATCTTGGTTCTTCATGTGTGTGCAACAAACAATTAGCGTGAGAAGTTTAGGCAAAATTCTTCTCGCCATGATGGCGAAGGTTCAATTTTTTTTTCTGTGGTCGTTATGTTGTTCGTGAAGTTCAACAACAAGTACGTGTTCAAAAATAATGTTGAGAAATGCAGCTTAGGGATCATACGAGATTATTTCTTAGTGTGATTACATTTGTTGTGACTAATACTGCATTTACTGAATTTTACCGTGTACGGTAAGTTTGCATTGCCTCCTTTGGCAGGTGAGTGAGTGAAACAAATTTATTCGGTCCACAATAGACGCGAGTAAACTCGGCGTCACCTGGCTAGGCCCACTCGGGGACCATCAGGTTAAACCTGACGGCCCTCGCGCGGGCCCTCTGGACGGCCAGGATTTGAGAGGTCTGGTCCTGGGCCTTAATGAGTCGCTTCATTTCCTCTTGGGTGAAAGGGGGACCGGCAGAGGCGCAGCCCCACAGTACATGCTCGAAGTCCGCATAACCACCACACAGGGGGCAGTCCGGGCTTGGAAACCGTACACTTTTAAATAGCTGACCACTCTTACTTCACCGTTACTGTCAATTGTGATCTCGTAATCCTTATTGCATGTCATGACATCACGCAATGTTACCCTAGGTATAGGCCGTGTATATGTAGGTCCGCGCACTCTCAAGTGAATTGATTTTTTTTTATTGAAATGAAAAACGGAGAAGTTTTTACCACTGTTACTTGCGCACAGCTACCTTTTCCACTTGGTTGTTAAAAACAAATAATTGAAAATAGCATATATGCATACACAGTTCTGCATAGGTAAGTACAAAAGTTCTCATTTAGGCCGAACAAATACGTAATTGCCATGATAACTTTTAACCTAGTCCACTCAGTAGTGGTTACAAATCTTTGTTTCTTTTAAGAAACGTTGAGCTTGAGCTGCACTTCGGGAGCAGAACCCGATGACATAATCTGGCTGCGTTCACGCCATCTCTCGATATGTGACTTGGATTTCCTCTCGGTGGACACCTGAACTCTACTGGTAAGATAGAGATGTCTGCTCGAGTTAGATTGACCGTTTCAAAATGTCAGATAACGTCTACGGCAATCTCCCTTACGAAATTCTCATCACGTCAGAATTGTTCTTTTTGCCAAGTGGCAAAATACCCACTACGCATCCGCTAAACAACACGCAGCTATACGCAGCTGCTGACTTTGTAGATGCTATTGATGATGGCGACGATTGAATATACCTGAGCACTGAGTAATGCGTGGGTCTCCAAACTATCCCATCGTTGTTGAATCTGCGTATCTTGACGCCTGGTACTATTACACGCTTGTGGTACTTAACATCGCTTGCGTTAAGAAACCTCCTCGCATCTTGTGACATTCTTATAGTTCTTTTTTCTGGAGCAGTTCCGAGCAGTGGCGAAGCTCTCTAGCAGAATACCTGACTGCGATTCACAAGGCCTGAGGTTGATTCCTACTCGAAGCAAATAGGTTTATAGAATGTTTATTTTCATCTTTATTGATTATTCTCTCACGGACAACGCCAATTTTTCTCTGACCACCAACGACGCCGTTACCGGAATTTCTGCGAACTGAACTCTTTGAAGCTCTCCGAGAAAGTGAACTTGGCCAGTGAACCTTCGCATGTGACGCAAATGCGTCGGCTTTCATATTCCAATCAGGGCATTCATATGAAATTCTTCACTTTTGTTTTTGACAAAACATTATGAATTCCAGCAAAGCATGGGGTATTTTATTAGTAGTAGTTATAATGCACGTGTACAATCAAATAAAAGTTGGCAATATTATACTTGCCACCGCTACGCCACGTGGATGCGATAGAAGTTTCTATTCGTGATACCTTTGACGACAACAGGATAAATAGTTTATAGCCGCAAAGGGCACGTGGTGTGTCAAAGTGAACCAACGTCTGCCCTAATTGAAAGATCTGGGCGAGTTTACGGTTGTTCTTAAATGACGTAGAACGTCTCCAATAATGTCAGTAAAGTGGAGAGCGTACGCACTGGAATACTGTGGAGCAATACACCTAGCTTAATAATACTGCATTATAATAAGTTTGTCAGTACGAGCAGGTTCCCCCCTCGCAGACCGGATGCCATACGGGGAAAGTACGATAGATTCACAAGCGTTCCGTTGAGTGTTTACCGATTCCATTCGGCAAGCAAGCGCGGTTCATCTACCCTATCGTGAAGCATACATTCTGCACGTGGTAGCTGCAACCGGTAACCTCTGAGCACGCATCCTCAAAAGCATCCACGTCACCAGATACATCCTGTGGGTGGGCGTTTAAAACAAATGCGATTCGTCCTGTAGCGCCATTCAGTTTGTCTTTTACTCCGCGGATATGATCGCCTTGGTGGTTTTACTCGTGGCTGCCGTTTATCAGGAGGCGATCTGCTCTTCGCAAATGCCATATCTTAGCCTTTGTCCTGGTGAGAAAGCGCTCTTAATTTTATTTTTTGAAGGTGTACATGTAAACTTGAAGTTTTCCTGGACTGATTCAATGAAATACTGCAATGAATGCAATCTATGTACAGTAGACTAATTGTAAGGTGGGTTGAAGTTCATGTCTTCAAGCCAAAGACCGATTTAGTTTTTGTTAATCAAGCGCCTCGCCCCGCTTGCAAGTGGAATTTGCGGGGAAATATCTGTTTTATGTAATTAGCACTGTGTCTTGTCCTTGTTGTGAGTGATCTTAAATGAAAATAAGAGAAAAGTGAGCCCCATAGTTGTCTCTCAGGACACCTCAACAGTAGCTAACGAGGGGGGGGGGGTAAAGGAGGGATTAAAAGGATAGGATTAAAATGTAAAGAGAGAGAGAGAGGGGAGAAGGAGAGAGTGAGGCGCAGGGACAGCGAACGACAGAAAACGACGGAAATAAAGAGGAGATAGGAAAGATGGGCACGGTCGCAGGAGTCCGAGGATGAGGCACCACTCGGTGAGAGCTTTTGTCGGCGTCAGGAGATGGCTAGGGCGAGCCCAGTTGGTCCGACAGAGCTGCGCTGTCGTCGGAAATCAGGGGGGGGGGGGGGGGGAGGGGCACAACCGGTCGGCGCGAAACCTAGAGAGCGAGTCCCCCTTTTTGTTTATTACGCAACGTAGATGACTTTAAGTGCATCATGAGAGCCACTTCAAATCATTCTTCACAGCAGAAGGGTATCGGGTGACATTTACGGCGTATGCCTACTATGAACAACTCGTAGGAAGAAGTTCGCGATTTCAGATAATCATATGTTTATCGTGAGGTCTTTGGCAAAGATAATGGCGGCTCGCCTGTCTGAGGAACGTATACTTGTTCATTCGACAAGATTGCCCCGTTTGATATGTAAATTAGTCGTGAACTTTTTGAATTGGCTTTCTTTCGGCGTAATATTTAACACCAACAGGACAATAGAGACATCTGGTTAGCGTAAAAGTTGATCTAACGTTCTGAAGCAGCCTGCACAAGGCGAAGGCTGCTTTCTTCAAAACGATCCCAAGAAAAAAAAAACGTCTGAGGTTCTTTCTTTGGAGAACTTTCGGGAGCGTACGAAATAGTTGTATTCAAAGGCTGCCAATTCAACGCCTTCGGTGCCTTGCAGATTGAAAGTGTACAACGCGCATCTTATCGTACAGCCTCTAGTAAAGGTGAGTTTCTCTGGGTCTAGCATAGTTTCTGGTCGAATAGCGGGTTTTCTTGCGGACAAAACCTGTAAGCCGTTACATTAGAATAAAATGCGAATTGCGTGGTGCACCCGCATTCACTCACTGTACCAAGTGTCTCAGAATATTTACCATGTGCACCTAATCTACTCACTTGAGCGTCCGTGTTAGGCACATTGCGTTTGCTCTCTAGCTACACCGACAAATCGCAGTTCAGGTTAGAGCATTAGATGCCTCATCAAACACGAAATCTGAACGTCGGCGTCCCGAGTTGGCGCTGCGTCGGGCACAAGTTATGTAAAAAAAGTCATCTCAACGTTTATCATGTGATGTACCAGTAACGTCCTTTTGTTACGACATTATGAAGGTCGTCGTGACGTTACAGGGACGTCACCTGATCTAGCATCGCAAGATGGCGCCATAACATCGCGCCATAACTCGGTCGAACGTGGAGGTAATGCGAAAACAGGTGAGGTGCTTCTGATCTTGGAGACAGTACAAAACTACATTAGGTGCAGAAAGCGATCGAAGGTAGCTGGGCAGGTTCAATGCATCGGCTGTGAGCAGCGATATAATAGCTTGGGCATTCGAGTCGTCTCAAGCGAATGCGCGAGGGCCCTGTGAGTGTTTAAACACCATGCTGTCGAGCCGAGATGTAGCAGTAGTCACAATCCCCATGGACAAGAGCGCGTGTGCATATTGGTCTTTCGGAAAAATTCTTCACGTTAAGGATGAGTTGCGCTTTCGTGTCAACCAAGCATTGGCCAAGCTGACGCGCTTGGTCCGCACTTTGCGATAATCACACTGATGTCATGACAGGCGAGCAGGATCCGACAGTTCAAGTCACCAATGTCACCATCCGAAATGCGAAGCTCGGCGAGAAGATGACCATCGACACTGCTTTCAAGATAACGGAACCACTGGACGCTGACCCCGTACTCTACGTGTCTTTCGCACGGCCGGACGGCACGGAGCTCCAGTGCCCCGATTACATATCGCACTGGTGAGAACATGTTCTTCTGCTTAAACAAATTCGTTGCTGCCTTACTTGTCTCAGGCTCTGACACTCGCAAGTAATATTTACTACGAAAGGCTTCCTTACGTGTTTACACGCAGACGCGCGCATGGTTCTCCGTGTGTGGGGGGTGGGGGGGGGGGTGAAGAGAAAGTTGTACTACAGTGCCCCAACCCCCCGTTGGCCGAGTCCGAAAGAAAAGGAGCTCTGAAATGAACGCGAATAGAAAAATCGAACGGCGACATGTCACTCACAATATCCTGCTGCTTTTAGTCACTGGCTTTCCGGTAGTGAATGTGTGCAGTAAGCAGTTCTTCGAATTGGACGTCGGGAGTCCTTGGTCGCCATTATCATGAGACAACGCTTTTTCATAGCCTTACGCATTGAAAAGTACGTGAAAACTCCGACTTAGTAAAGGTACGGGGTTGAATTTGGTCCCTCTTTGTGGAGGGAGAGGACTGCCCTCTGTGGAGGGCGCATGACATACGTCCCTCCAGCTGTGTAGCTTATTGAAAGCCCTCTGCAGATAAAGCATGTTGCACCAATAATCGGGGTAACTTCTGTTGGGAACGCAGAACGTGCGTCTCATTACTGCTACCCTGGGGCTTCGGCCTGCGCCCCAGGCCGCCTCGGCTCGAACGCCCCCACTACAACCTTCTCATGTGCACACCTATGTGTAGGCTCTATATATATAGCGCCTGTCCCATCTATCAGAGTACACCAGAAAGCGCTTGTCCCACGCATTGGTCTTCTTAACAGCGCTTGTCTGGTGCATCTTTGTCCTTAACAGCACTTGTGTGTGTCAACGTTCTTTCTCTGCCGTGTTGAATTCGCGCTGTCCAGCATTTAAGGCGTTCTTTTGTGGCTACCCCTACCGGCCCTTCAGTAAGCACCGTTCAATTGGCGAATGACAGAATACTATGGCAACGGAAACAGGGTCAGAGCAGAGAAGACGGGGAAAAAAAAACAAGCCTATTTTCCTTTAATATAAGTAACGGGTGGTTTTCTGGTTTATTTCAAATGTCATCCATAACATCACGCCATTATATGTGGAGGTAAGTGAGATGAACGAGTCCTTTTACTCGAGGTTCGGTTTCTCCAAAGCTTTTCTTTGCAATCAAGTAGGCTGAAGAAGCCATTCTAGCAGGCCTAATGCTTCGAAGCATCTAGTTTGCCCACTTCAGGTATTATGAATATTCAAAATCGGCAAGGTTTATGTGCGCACTTCGTTACAATGATACAAACATTTATTAAAACGTGCAGAAGATATACGTTGCGTCACCAAATTTCAGTAACCTCTTTTATATGTCTTTAATCTGCAGCGAACTGAAGTTATGCGAAGGCACAAAAATCGACGAACTCCAACTCAGCCGAGAGTGGCACAACAAGTGTCCCATTCTAGCCGGCGACTACACCACTCACGTTTCTGTGCGCCTGCTCGACATGAAAAGTTCCGAGGAGTTCATAGGGGTGAGTGACTGAGACAGCTTTATTGGGGCGATAGTCTTGAATGCACCATCAAGCGGAAAAATTTATTAATATGTTAAGTTTCTGAAATATCACGTGCAGTGTTAGTGTCCGATTGCACGATATGATGTAATGGTGTGCTTCACGCATGTATAGCATATTGCATATATGGCGGTCGTTTTTCTAGAATAAATTTAGTAGCAAGCTGACCCTCTTTCCTTTCGCCTATTCTTCCGCGGTGGTTTAAGTCGTCTAATTTTCTTGTAACGTGCACCAACCAGCCCAACAATAAGTTTTACTGAAGTCCGTTTTGCTCCTCAAGGGATCGCAAATGTTGGTCCTAAAAGAGAAGAGCCAGTGATGGTGGTTCTCCACCCCGCCTTTTTATGGCGCCTAATTTCATCCAGGAGGCATGCGATTCTTTTGTAAACTATTTCGTGGCAGCTCCGCCGCGGTGGTCTAGTGGCTAAGGTACTCGACTGCTGACCTCCAGGTCGCCGGATAAAGTCCATGCTACGGTGGCTGAATTTCCGATGGAGACGGAAATGTTGTAGACCTGTGTGCTCAGATTTGGGTGCACGCTAAAGAACTCCAGGCGGTCGATAATTCCGGAGCCCTGCACTACGGCGTCTCTCAAATTCATATGGCGGTTTTGGGACGTTAAACCCTACATATCAATCAAATCATCAACTATTTCGTGGCATCAATACATAATTAGGAGGCTACTTGTTTGTGCTTATGGGTGTCTAGTTACGGAAAACAGTGCTGCTTGAAACCAGTGCGGCAGCGATGAATCTAGAGACCGCGTTCTTCGTAGCTGCCTTCACTAACAGTCAGTGCTGGAATGCGCGCCCGAACTGTTTTCGCAGAATAAATTAATGAATACCTTGTTGAATGAACATGTGCGTATGGCATTGGCCTGTTGAATAAGCTACAATACTTTCGAGTGACATCCTCTTTTTCTCTGTATGTTTTAGTTTTTTTCATGCTCCTTTTTTTTCAGCTTTCCCTTCCATCTTTTTTTCCCTTTCCTGCTCGCCTCGGTGCAGGGTGGCAAGCCAGATGCAACACTTCTTGTGGACCTCCCTGCCTCTGTCTCATCTTATTATCTCTTTATGTTTCTCGTGGTATCTATTCATTGTTACGTTATTGTGCACTACGTAGAGGACAAGGTGAGAACTGCACAGACACAAGTGCAAACGTTCGACTGGATTTGAGGAGTGAGGTAATTACGAATTCATACACGGGCATGCAGAACGTATATTGAATCATTTATCGAAATGCACGCGTCAAATCTCAGACACAGCAGCACTCCTACTCGTTTTGGTCACTTTAACGTCGGAGGCGATCACACATTTTAATAAAAAAAAAGCAACAACAAACCGAAAAGCATAATGCCAGAAACTATTCATGCTGAGGAAACGTGCACGGATCAGTAGTTTGTTGTGGTTTGTTAATTTAAATTTGTGGCAGAATTTCTCGTTAAAGTGACCGCACGAGCACGTGTGGTGTTGGGCCCAAGATTAGACGTGTACACGTCAATAATTATTCGAAATACGTTGTACATGATTACCTACCAAATTATTTTTTCTCTCGTTAGATTCCGTTGAAAGATTGCACTTGTGTCTGTGCAGTTATGTCCTCGGCCTCTAAGATATGCGTGATAACTTATTGAGGAACTAAGTATCTGCTCTAGCGGGGCTACATTGTCGTCGCAGAATTTCATACTTTGCCATAGTGTACAATTTCGGAAACATGCGTTTAGTTTTAATGTCCTAATTTTAATGCACTTCCGCACCATCGCCAGAGACGTGTTCCGTTTTGCCCTAGGAGAGGAATACCGACACGTCGAATTTCTACAAAATTGATTTATCCCTTAAAAGTGGATTTACACAGCGTGTGGACTGTCTAAATCTGGTTTTGTAAGTAATGTCACTGAATAAGAGAGTGTATGTAGCCTTACCCTTCCGATGCAACTCATCGGTAAAGAGCCCCAACTCTCTCCTAATGAGGTGCGGCTAATGAGTTGTCGCGCAACACGCATATAAAAAATTCCAATAAGTTATCAGCGAATTTTATGTTTTATTACAATTTCACTTCGCTCTTGACGTGCCCAATAAATGTCAACGGCCGACTGAAAACATTCTCTCGATTTCCGTTCATCTCTGCGTCTTCCCAGCCAACCTTCAATGCAGTCCTAGAAATTTGCTCCCTCTATTTTACCACTCCTTCCTTGTTTGTATTTGTACAAGTATAAACGTTGCCACGAGACTAAGGCATTAAAGAGACAATTTGATATTGCAGAATAATTGACTTTGACATGTTGGCGACATTTTATATTGTGTGGGAGCATTTTGTTTGTGTTATTATCTTCACTGGCTGTTTCTCTTTTGAGCCGGCACTTGTTTCCTTATAACTACTGGGGCTCACTTCGTCATTGTTCTTACACATGATCGAGAATCGGAGGCATTGATGTAGTTAAAAGCTGGCACCGGATACCACAACATAACCTAAACGTTTCCGGCATGTGCTGTAGCATTTAAATCAATACAGTTTCACCAAAGCACTCGTCATGGTACACCAAACTTATTTATACCGACAAATACGCGTTTTGGAAGCAGTCACAATTTTTTGTGTTGTACTATTCCTTTTTTTTTTTTTTTTTAGTCTCCGAGCAAATTGCCTCTCCTGTCTTCAAAAGATGTACCCGACTATAGTGTTTCCCAAGTATCTGAAACCGATCGAGGGTGGTTTCCAATATCCTGTTTTGGTCGTGTGATTGTTTTGTGAGTGTGTTTGTGTGCTTCTCATACAGTTACGGCAGGGTGCTCAGCCGCCACCGAGAGATGGCGCGACACGTATGTGCGTTGAAATCTAGCGACTGTGTGCGTATTTGTAATTTATGTGGCTGTTGCTATATTGCGATCACGCCGGGTAAACGCACGTCGTTATCTCTTAACCAATTTTGTTTTTCGTGTAATCCTCTGCGTATAGCCGCTTACTTGTTCATTCACTTCAATTCTCTACTTCAATAGCTTATGGGTGTTCCTTCAAAGTGAAATGCTTATCCAGGGTCTTACCGATTTCAGTCTCCTTATTTGTAACACCCTCTCAAGCGAATTGAAGGTTGTGTGTTTACCTGTGGGGTGAACTATAAATTCGTCACGGTGCAGCTGCGGCGCGGCCAGCTTGTCAAGGAACGACCTTCAGATTCTTCCCCCTTCACCGCCAACAAAAGTGTGGAGAGGGACAAGAAAATGGATGCCGTTCTACTACGCTCCCTACTACGCTCCCTTTAGGTAGCGCCTTTAGGTATTCTACCTTTAGGTAGCATATGCTACCTAAGGGTAGCATATACAGTAACTCTATCTGCGACATGATGGCAGTGATAGAGCTGCGCCGTGGCGCATTTAGAGTGCGCCAGATTTGTAAGGTGCGAAGAAATACGTTCCTCGTACACTGAATACGTGACTGTTCCCAAAGTGACTCATAAAAGACCCAGTCCCGCTTATTTCTTTCTTTGCCGTTTCTTTTCAGAACGGCAGCGTCGTGGTCACGTTCAACATTGGAAACGGAGGGGAAATTGTCGATTGGGTATATTTCACTGTTTACGTGGAAGAATAAGTGGACCTTTGTGTCCCACAGGTACCACGACCCCGCAGTTTAGTTTTATAGCTGTTACAGTGACGTTTTTGTTGACATATGATTAAAGCAGCGGTGTAAGCCAATCATACCGCGAGCCCACTAATCACTTGCTTACAAAAGCGGTGTGACATCATGATTCACTAAGTCGCAATCGCTGAAGTACAAGCGTCACAGTGTTGAGCAACACTGCGCAGCTGCGTGATAAATCATGAGCATGGCGACTGCAGGAACTACATATCGGAATGGTTTGTGACGCTACTGAAGCACGCAATAAAGATGATGCTTACGTGTACGCAGTCCCTCCGTGCTGCAACACATTCCAGGATATGAATGTCATACTTCTCTATCCGCCTAAAGGCCTGTACAATGCAACTATTTTTTCAGCTGAGACGAAGCCTTTAGTTCAAGCAGCGCCTCTTTTTTTTATACGCGCAATAAAAGTCTGTAACGGCCTTCATCAGGCCATTTTTGCCGTCATTGGCCAATCTATAATTTCTAAAACTCTTAGAAACGCTCGGATGTCGTTTTGAGAAACACAAACCCTATGTAATACCCCTTAAGGGGAAATTTAAGGAAATGAAGTCAAGTGTAATGAACAAAAGGCTGAAGGCCTTGCTAAGCTGCTGTAAGTTTCATGTGGACACGCACATGCTATTTTGTTTTCTCGAAAACCAGCACAAATAGTACACACAAAAAACGGAGCACTCTCGAGCTATTTCGTACGTTTCCAACGTCAGTGCCGATAATGCAAATCTAATTTCACCCGACGTGAAACTAATGTGTGATAAAGTTATAAGGCATTGGCTAAAAGACTCAATAGACCTGCTAATGTAGCACCGGAGTAGTACACTGCATTTTATAGAGCAGTAGTTTAGGGAACCATCGGGTATTTCACATCTCACTCATTTGTGTAAGTGGACGCTGGGGACATCCAGGCCATACGGCCGCTCGCACCCAAGCCCGAGCACTAGTCAACCAGCCTGGAAGCGTTTCGAAAAGTTAATTCGAGCGTGAAAACTTGACACGATCACTCACGCACGCACACACCCATGCATCAAACACATAGCGCTCACTTTTCGAAATGCTCTACCAACTAGCCCAACAACAAGGACAAGAATCGCTTACCCAGCGACCACGGTGTCACATTAACAGAAATGCTCTTCTAACGTACAACTCTACCCCTTCCCTCCGGCTGCATAAACGTTTACCAGAAGTGACCAGGTGTTGTGGCGCATACTTGATATGGCCACAGTCGAATCCCGGCTGCGGCGGCTGCATTTCCGATGGAGGCGGAAATGTTGTAGGCCCGTGTGCTCAGATTTGAGTGCACGTTAAAGAACACCAGGTGGTCTAAATTTCCGGAGCCCTCCACTACGGCGTCTCTCATAACCATATAGTGTTTTTGGGACGTTAAACCCCACACATCAATCATACTTGATATGGCCACAGGGGCACAACTCCTTTTCTTTAATCCGTTATAACGCATGGCGAAACCTATCCTCACAGCATTTTGTGCCCTTGCACAAAGGCAGATTTTAACCGCATCCTTTTAAACTGATGGAACAAACCCAAGTCGCTGTGCCGAAGGTCGGAACACAAGGAGTGACAAAAGGCCGCTCTGCGCAGCTCACCATCAGAACTGCAGCTTCGGGCGATGGGCCGTGCCGAAGGGTCTTCCCGAGCCCAAAAGTGTCCAGCTATCCCGAGTGACCCCGGCGTCCCCCATCGACCTGCCTTGTTTTTCTCCCTGCACTGAGGTGAGGAATGGAAGGGAGAAAAGATATAGGATCGAGGGAAGAAAGATACACACAATCACCACACACTCAGGGGAGCACATGCAGTCTACATGGGGTTGCTCAGGTTTGTTGTGTTCAAGTGCACCTGTAGCGCTTTAGTCGCTTTCTGCGCTATTTAGGAACATGCCTAAGGTCCCAGAATCTTTTGCACAGAGAATGGTCTAGAGTCCAGTTGGTTCAAAACCATCCGGAGCTGGAATGGCTGGGTGTCGTAGCAAACGTAGCTGCACAGGTCGTGTTGGGTGGTCTTTTCAGCTCCTCAGGAGTCGTATGTATATGTGTCTATCATACCGATGGGAAATGAGTACGCCTTTTTGAATGCAACACCCAACCAAAGGCGGAATAAGTGTCGCATGGAAGCGAGAAAGTTGTGATGGTTGCTGTTAGAGCGAAGGATCCAGTTGATATAAGTGACACTTTTGGAAGCTGGTATTCGACCAAAAACGTGCGTGTGGGATCTCGAGTCAGCAAGTAAAGCTGTCTTGCCGCATCAGTCCTTGATAGAAGAATCGGGACTGCCCTCGTCCCTTCATGGGCTGAGTGGGCTGCATCATCGGCTAATTGATTTCCAGAAAATTCTATGTAATATCCATGTGAATCAATATATTGATTACCTACCTACCTATTGCGTAGGCAGGTAAACAAGCGAATGCGGAGTGCCGTTGCGATACAATATATAGTTGGTGACAAGCTATGAATAAAGAGTAACATGGTAAAGTGCACCGCTATCCATTTGCATTATGCGCGTACAACGGAGGTCACTCTTTACTATGACGTAACAGTCAAGATAAGCGAATGACTAATTCAGCACGACACGCCGTTATCGACTAGAGGTTACGTACCACTCCATGGAAACAGGCAGGCGTCCATTCAGTTTTCCTGTGCTGCTTTCTTCATCCACTTGCCCTCAGCATCATCCTCGCTGGCCGTCATTAATTCGATCGGGTTTCTGACTTCGCAGCGTTTGAAGGGCATTGAAGCGGCAGAGCCTTATCGCGTTCCTTCGTTTCGGCAACGTGAACCAGCAACACGGCGTGTATTCTCTGCGTCGCTCGCATCCACCAAGCATGTCGCCTGTGGTTGATCACTCTCGGCGATTGTTGTCATGGTCATTCATGGGCAGTAAGGTGAACGTGAAGTCTCAGTGTGTGCCTCTGTGTTTTGTGGAATGTGCTCGTCTGTGATTTACCGCTCACAAAAGCTATGACATCAACGTTGCCAAATGTTTGTGTGGGAGTGTGCTACTTGGGTGACGCAGCGTGGGAATAGTGGTGAGATTTTGCGATATGCGCTGCGCTGTGCACCCATATGAATTATGTAAGTGTGGTGTGGACGAGGCGTGATAGAAAGCAATCAACAGAATCTGCTAGCATAACGGAGTACGAAAGTAAGCAAACCAGCTGATGAAAACGTGCCATGTTGTATGCGTTTTAAAGTGAATTTTGTTCATCTTGTGTGTGTGCGTGTGATTATTTAGACATGTGTCAGTAGGCGCATCTGCGTCATCTTAACGAAATTGATTTCTACCGGCTCAGAATTATGTCTCAGGTTGAAGTCCCCATTGCCTAAGCGCTTCTCTCACGTTCGTTCCACGAACACTTTGTATAAGAAAACCCACGTGAGGTTCTTCAGACCACAAAATGACGCGTGTTATGTAACACCGCGATCACGATCAATCACAACTAGTTGCATTGATCTTGATCGTTACTGAAGCGACGCAGCTAAAGCTGTTATTGAGTGGAACAAGAAATGTTTCGTTTTTCAAGACACTTATCATACTTAGCGATACCTTTTTAGGAACACCTAACTTTGCCTAAAGTGTTTTTCTCGCTGTATTGCGGGCACGTATTACGTAGTAAACACTTGTTTATATCAAGTTAGGGTCCCGTGAAAAAAAACACATCAAAGATGCATTGCACACACCTGTAAAAACAAAGTTTGGCACACAAATCACTCGCATTCACTGGAGAGAGAAACCCTCTCGCTTGCTCAGACACACATTCGTACACACACATCAAACACACACATTTGCACACACACATTCGCACACACACATTCGCACACACACATTTGCACACACACATTCGCAGGATGTAGCTGCCCCTGTTTCAGCAAAACTTGGTACCGCTTAGAAAAAGTTGATTATTCACGGGCTGTCTGGGTCATAGCAACATCATAATGTGCAAGTTGTCGAAGCAAGAAAAAAAACTGCTACAACTTTTAGTCGCCTCTACTTTAGCCGCGTGCATCACTTTGGCATTAACACAACGGCAACGTATGCAATGACCCCCACAGTTCAACACCATGTGCGCTACGCGCTTTTATTTCGATGAAACAAGATGCAGAATGAAACATAGGCGTTTACCACAAACGCGATGACAAGCATGGCGACGCTAGACGCACATTCGGTATTACGG